AACGGGTCCACCTCTTTGGAATGGGGGTCGTTTGGCTTCTTTTCTTAGCCTGCAAAGCCCCATATCCGTCATACCTGTCTTTTCTTTTGCAGTAACCCAAAGCTGGTAGATGTTTCACCTCCAGGCTTTCAGTTTTACAGGACTTTACTGTAACTATTGTTTGGAAAAGTCTTCACCTCTACTTTCCTGCATGAATCAGCTGCTAGCTGCTACTCTCTCCAATAATTGCAATAAAACCCACTTCAAGTGCTTTAGCACCACCTAAAGGGCTGGAGGGGGAAATTTGGTGTCCTGCTCTTTGAAAATTGCGTTTCGTTAAATTGCGATTATGTTGCAGATGCAATTAATTGCCCAGCCTTATTCGGTAGGCAGGTTTTGGAAGAATAGATGACAGTGTCGTCGGCATAAAGATGAATCGGCTCATTAAGGAAAGTCAGGTTCATGGTTCATATCTCTGAATTCAAGCTGTAACCATCTTTGAAGTAGATCTGAAAAATAAGATGTTCCCTATCAGACTAATAAAGATGTTATTCTCAGCTGGGTTTTTTATCCCTAAAACTTTTGAAGACACTTTAACCTTTGATGATTCATGGATTTTGGTTGTAGAACTAGAACGTCAGGATGAGTGGAAAAGCAGGGGAAGTTCTTAAATGGTTTTAAATCTTAAGATCTGATCAAAGATCAGCTGGTAGTCCAGCAGCAGCTCAGGTTCAGTCTTTATCCTCCTGCAGCTCCGGCCATCAACTGGAGTCGAGGAGTCCCCTCCCACGGCGGAGGAGGAATCAAACCGGCGGGACTCGCTGAGGTCCACAGTAAGTTCCGTCCGGTGAAGAGGGTGTCCCCCCTGAAGCACCAGCCAGAGGCCACAGACTCGGACTCGGACGGTAAGGTCCAGAACGCGGGGCTGGTTCTGGGGGAGCAGAATGAGGTCGGTAAGGATGACTCCAGGTCTGAGAAACCCACCAACGCCTCCACGCCGCCCGACGGGTCCGGAGGGAAGGCCAAGGGCCTGGTGGGGGGGAGCAACCCTCAGGCTCTGTTTGGAGAGCTGGAGCACTACGATCTGGACATGGACGAGATCCTGGACGTGCCTTACATCAAGTCCAGTCAGCAGATGTCCACGCTGCCTCGGGTCCCTCACGACCGGCGCTCAGCGGCGGGGAGTAACGCGGGAGGAGGAACCCTGGAGAGGAACCGAGGACTGAAGAGCTCGGCTCTGAGCCACGGCGAAGCTCTGAGCAGCAGCTCCCAGACTCCGGTGAGTCCAACCCGAACCGTTTACCTTCTGCTGCACCTTTCCGGCCAGAACCGGTCCGATCCAACCCCACACAGCGATGGCCGCCGCCTCCTTCCTGCTGCCTCACCACGGTTCCCTCCTGTCTCTGCAGTACTGCGTTCTGTCTCCGGTGAAGTGGTCGGACCTGCGGAAATCCAAGTCCATGGATCCGGACCTCCACCACCTCCACCGCTCCCCGGGTGGAGGAGGTTACCAGGCGGAGCTTCCCTCCTCTGGCCTCCTCAGCTGCTCCTCCTCCATCTCCTCCTTCTCTGATGCAGGTACGGTTTTATAAAAAAAAAGCGCTTCCCCTCCGCTTACGAAGATGACGACACCAGAACTCTGCTTCCAGACAAGCTCCTGTCGGCCCGAGTCTTCCCGGACTCCCAGAGCCAGCGGCTGGGGGGGGATCCCCCCGCGTTCCCACCACCGGGGGGCAAACAGGACGCCTCCAAAGCCTGGGCTCCTGGAGGAGGCGGGGTCAGCCTGAGGGGCTTTGGAGGCGCAGGAGGGGAGGTGGACGAGGAGACCAAGAAGAACCAGAACATCATCAACATCGTCAGAGAAGGACAGATCTCCCTGCTGGTGGGCGTCCCCGTCTCTTCATCACGTTTCTCCTCATCCTCTCATTCCTGACGTCTCCTCCTCTTCCTCTTCCTCCTGCAGCCTCACCTCGCTGCCGACAACCTGGAGCTGATCAGAGACGAGGACGCCAACAACCTGCTGCACGTGGCCGCCTCTCAGGGTCACGCCGACTGCCTGCAACACCTCACCTCCCTGATGGGGGAGGACGGCCTCAACGAGCGGAACAGCCAGCAGCTCACCCCCGCCGGGCTGGGGGTCAAGGTGGGTCCAGAAGGGATGCTGGGATTACTGTCAGGCCTGGATTAGGGCTGAAGCTATTAACCAGATTAATCCATTATTGAAATAATCGTCAACTAACTTAGATTCATCGTTAACTAGAGTATAGAGACTAAAATATGCCTTTAGCTGACAGTGCGACCCACTTGGACTTGGACTAGGCCACATGTGGATTCCTTCATGTCAGCCCTTCAGCTGAACGAGCCCAGATCATCATTCCTCCACCTCCATGTGGTTCTGAGCCTTCAGACAGAACGTTAAAGAACCGCCCTTGTTCTGTTCATAATAGAGGCTTTCTGCTCCTACCGGGTCATGACCTTTAACCTTTGACCTGCTGATAACGGCCAGTGGAGCTCCCGGGTGTCGGGTCGTCTCTCTGACCTCAAGTTCCTGAGATGTTCTCCTGTCCGGAATAATCTTAGTTTGGACTTTAGGACATTTCTCAGGTTGATCTGCTTCTTTAAGCTCTTTGCTGATTTATCTGGAGTTTCTGTAACACGGACCTGATTCAGTTCACAGGTGGGAATGATCCTCTCTGAGGTCAGACCAAAACAAGCAGAACAGAAGTTGATCCTAAATGAAAGAACTTAAAGATCCTCCATCATAGAGGCGGTTCTCTTCAGGGGCCAACGGGAACCAGCGGCCCTGGAGAACCGATCCTGGCCCCTGTAATGAAAGCACACACTGCAAAAAGTTTGCATATAAGTCCATTTTCTTGAAAAAGGGTGCATTCTACCTCGGTCTGAGCAGCTAGACAAGACGATTTACAGATGAAATAAGATTATTTAGATTTAGAATAAGCAAAAAAAAAAGTCCATCGTCTTATTTCAGGTAGTACAGGGTTTCCACTGGTCATTCAAAGTTATTAAAAGTCATTGAATTATTTTAATTTTTTTAATTAACACATTGACTCTCAGAGTTCTGATCCTACTAGAACTCCCACTGGCCTTCAGTTGGACGGCTGACATTTTTCCCAATGAAACGCATCAGTAGTGATGATGTCATCAACTGAGATGGTTGTAGTGTGCGATATATACGCATTGTGGATATGTAAACCTTCAAACAGGTCCGATATTTATTGTTCAAAGGCTGTATTGTATGCTATCATGCTTTCAAAAATAAATCCGTAGAGTGAGACTGTTTTACTACACAGGTTCAAAGTTTGAAATTACAATTATATTTACAAAAATTGATTGATTGATTAATTCCCCCCAAACATTTACCGCAGAACACCTTTTCACAGCTGAAGCTCCTGGCGCTGTTTTCTTTGCTAAAGCTGCTCTTTAGCGGCGGAGGGGCTGGAAACCTGCGGCTTGCCTGCAACCGTTTCACCACTTCAAGGATAAAATCACTGCGTGAGACGGTGACGTCCAAACAGCTCCTGAACAAAACCAACGCCTTTATAGCTGCTACTCCCAGATCGCAAAATACAGCGACAGTAAACCTTTGGAGGTCTTACATAACAGTTTCTAATCATCTGATCCGACACATCCACCCCAACCTGTGTGATCATAGTAGATCTGGTTTGGCTTTGGGCCGCTGAATGGACCGGCTGAGATGTGGGCAATGCTTGAACAAAAGTTTCACTATTTTCTGACGGGTCACTGATACCTCCGCGTTTTCCTGGGGGTGGGTGATCATCCTCAGACTCGCTGTCAGAATCTGAGCCGCTTCTTGTCCAGTTCTCCTCATCGGTCTCTCCCTCTCCGCCCGAATCGCCATCATCAATATTTTGAAGGATTTCTAAAGCCTGTTTGGCTGTTAGATTTCTTCTGAAAGCCATTTATTCCCTATAAGCAAAAGAGTTCTAGGTAGAAGGTTGGTTGCTAGTAGAGATGTCCCGATCCAGGTTTTTGGACTTCCGATCCGATACCGATACTGGCCGATACCAGCCTATCCGAGCATGTATTTAAGTTTAAGTTAAAGTATTTAGCCTTAGTTGTAAGACTCATGTTGAAAAGGGTTTTAGTACTCTTGATAACATCTAGCCAGCTAAATTAGGTGAGATAGAATAAAACACAATGCTTAGTAACAACAAACTTACCTGTTTATTAAGAGATAAACACAAACTGGACAAAATTATGAATAGCAATCTGAAATTGCACAGTGAACAGTAAAACCGTAAACAGTTAAAGGTGCAAGTATTACTGTAAGTTTTAATAAAAATGCAAAACAGGGAAACACTGGCGCAAAATAGTGGAATGGATCGTTTCAATCGGCGAAACTGGAAAATACGGACCGGATTTTTTTTTTTTAAACTGATCGGCAGTCTGGATCGGCATTTTACATGCTTTGCCGATACGCATTTTTTTGCCAATATCGGCGTCCCGATTCGATACGTGGATCGGATCGGGACAAGCCTAGTTGCTAGGCAACGGTACGAACGTCAATCAACTGCGGGAGGAATTTACAATGCAACTAATAGAGCCGTCAAAATGACGGCTGTGGGAGTTCTAGTGTTAAGGCCTTAATTGGCATTAAAATTCATTAAATGTAATTATTGTGGCATTTAAGATGCTCTATTTATTTTTTTATTCGTTTGTAAAAACAATTCCGTCAGATATATTATATCAGATACTGGTATCTGTGCAATACTAGTAATTATCTTATTTTAGGGGGGAAATACAATTTTCTTTGGCTGTTTTCATTTATTTACCTGCTCATTTTAAGGATATTCTCATTTTAAGAACTTTTCTACTTTTTAGATGAAGTTTTGCTGATCTCATACCGAAATAAGTCATATATCCTGTTGATAGAAGGGACTGCACTCTAACCTTAGATCTAGAAAAAGTCTCTGATCTTGTTTTCAGATTTCTATACTTCTTCTCATGAGAATATCTGTCTGACTAACTGACTTTTAAGAAGTCTAAAAAGTGCAAATGTCTCACTGCATTTTAAGTAGAATCTTTTCTAAATCAATCTTCTCTTGCTCAGTGTATCGATCCTCATTTGAGACGATGAGAATTGATTCGGAGCTAATTTAATCATTCAGCTTTGCAATTTAAAGAAATGCAGTCACGTTTAAACCTCAGCCATGTTAAGATACGACCAGGTTTTCATCATCTTTATTTTTGTTCTATGTCCCATGAAAAACACTGGCCCCCTCCTGGCCCCCCGGTCCAGTTTCTAATGGGCTGCTTTCCCTGCCTGGGGGGCGGAGCCTAACGGGACTCTGAGCTCACAGGAAGTAAGACGCCGGTTTGAGATCAAACTGTCTGAACTTTGAACAGCGGCTCTGTTGTTCCTACAATCAGGCAGAGGAAGGCCCGGTCGCTGGGCTCTGATTGGCTGCCGGACAGGAAGCCTGTTATCAGCTGTACGCTGCTTCCTGATTGGCTCTGATGGACAGGAAGCTCAGATGAACAGATGGGCTAAAAGCTGATTCCCTTCAAAATGTGTGAGAGGCTGTTGCCATGGAGATGAAACTGCTTCCAGAAGCCGGTTGTGAGTCATGAAGGTGTTTGTGTTTCAGAACGGCCACCTGGAGTGTGTGAGGTGGATGGTGAGCGAGACGGAGGCCATCGCCGAGCTGAGCTGCAGCAGAGAACATCCCAGCCTGATCCATTACGCCGCCCGCTACGGACAGGTGAGGTCACCACCGGGTCGTAGGGGGGCGGCGGCGATGATGTCAGCAGAGAAAAGGAGGCTGAGTTCAAGGTCAAACAGAAACAGAAGTTCTCCAGAACATCCAAGAGATGAGAGAAACCGGCCTATTGTATCTGTAGTGTTCATTATTATTATTATTTTTCTCCTGACAGCTTTTTGGAGGCTTTAACGTGTTCAAAATCTCCACAAACTTGGCAGTAACTGCGAAAATTTCCATATTTAAATGGAATTCTCCTAAATGCCTTCTGCTGCTGGTCTCTAAGGAGCGCCGCTGCCCCCCTCTGGTAGCGGCGTGTAGTGCATGTTGAGCTCTCCTTCCTTCGGTTCCCGGAGTCACCGGGTCCTCTGGTGTCTCTGCAGGAGAAGGTTCTGCTGTGGCTGCTTCAGTTCATGCAGGAGCAGGCCATCTCCCTGGATGAGGTGGACCAGAACGGGAACACGGCCGTCCACGTCGCTGCGCAGTACGGACACCTCACCTGCATCCAGGTAAGCCGGCACCGCGGTGCCACCCGCCGCCAGGAAGCAGAGCTTCTTCTCCTCCTGATCCGCTGACCTCTCCTGTCCAGACTCTGGTGGAGTACGGCTCCAACGTGACGACCCAGAATCAGCATGGCGAGCGGCCCTCCCAGAGCGCCGAGCGGCAGGGCCACACCACCTGCGCCCGCTACCTGGTGGTGGTGGAGACCTGCATGTCTCTGGCCTCGCAGGTCGTCAAGCTCACCAAGCAGCTAAACGAGTGAGTTTCTTTACCTGAAACCGCTTTATCTTCTGAGGCTTCCAGAACGTGTTGAAGGTTGAAGGTCCAGAACCTGATGTTCAGAAGCTGAATCCTTCAAACGTCGACCTTAGAACCGGGTCAGAGGAGGTTCTGAAGGTTCTAATGTCCGGATCTCTGAGCTGGTTTCAGGTTTTATCAGCATTTTGCTTCCAGAGAGCCGATCTGACCCGTTCTGTCCTGCAGGCAGGCGGCGGAGAGGATCAACCTGCAGAAACATCTGCAGAGGCTGATGGAGCCCAGCAAGGCCGACGGGACGCCTTCCAGGTCACCAAGGTAACGGACCCACTGGGTCACAGGCGGGGGGGGGGCTCCTACGGAGAGAAAATACTTCCAGTATTACAGGAAGCAAAGACTAGGTTTCAATAAATATACAAAATGTGTTTCAAAAGTGGAAGTTTGAATAATTTAACAAATAAAAGATGTTTGAGAGCAAAACGTGTGAAAAATTTCAACCAATATTTTAGGAAGTTCAAATGTTATTTTCCTTATTTAATATTTTTGAGATTTTAGGAAATGCAAGAAAAGCCATAAAGTTTTGGGGAAAAAATTCAAAAAAATTAGTTTTTAAAAATGGAAAAATAAAATGAAAGGATATCTAATGTGTTTCTTTTACATCCACATAAATTAAAACCTTTTTTTTTTTTTAAATGTGTCAACTCTTTTGAGGCCTCTGCAGATCTTGATGACGCGTCCTATGGAGGTGTTTTCCTCCCAAAAACCAGGAGCAATAATTTCCACGTTAAGAGCAGGATTTCCTCTTCCTGCAATCAAAATGTGTAACTCTAACATTCAAGACTTCTGCTTTCTCTGAAATGTCTTCTTCATCTGTCAGTGTTTCTGCTCTCTGATCTGCAGATATTCTCCCCTTTAGTTTACTTCCTGCTCGAGTCTGAAGTCGTTTCTCATTATGTGTACTTGTGCGTTCTCGTGGGCGCGTGAAACGTCATCAGCTTCAGCCCTAGTGCTGTTCCTATTCACAAAAGAACAGCCAACCGAGAACGGACAAAGTGCCCCGGTGCAGCC